CCCTTCCTTCATAGCTCTGCCAATCGAAGGTTTCTCTTCTTCTAAAATATCTAAACTATTATTTATCCAAATCCTTTAATATCATAACATTTATCTAGTTGTATATTTAGAAATAAAAAAAGAAAAAATTTAATTTACTAAGTAGTCTTTACAAAGAATTACAGACGATTTAAAAGCTTTTCGTCGAAAAAAAATTCATTTAACGCTTTATATTTTCATATTTATATAATTTATAAAAATTGCTTAACAAGAAAAAACTTGTTTCTAATTTAAGAAAAAAAAATATTCTAAGATAGATTTAAAACACTAATCTTTTTTAGATCCATTATTGTAATTTGTTTCGGAATCGGGGACACGAAGATTATTTCTAAAGGGAATTAATTAAACTTTTCTAAAAGTTCCCCCTTCGGTTGAATTTAAGGATTGTCTTTATTCTTTCCATTAAAGAATGCTCAACCACAGAGATTTCAATTATCTTGACGTTTTATTGTAAAATCACTCGAACAAAACATTAAAGAAAACAAACAAATAACAAGAAGTTTAAATATGTCAAAAAGGAAAAACGATCTGTTTAATTTTTTTCGTGTATTGTATACGTAAAAATCGTTGGAATGCTTTAGATATTCCCTATTTTTGAAACAACTTATATACATTAATATACTGTATCTTCTATCATTAATAAGGATACTCAAAATCTTAGTGGAATTTGTTGAATATCCTTAATATAAACTACTTAATTAATAATAATTTATTTTAAAAATAATTTACTGAACTAAATTAAAAAAATGCATCAATATTCGGAACAATGTACTCTTTCAATTGCTACAAATCTTTTAATATGTAGATCATGTCTTTGTCTGTATGTAACGTTCTAAAAGTAATAATTAAGAATATAAAGGAGCAATAGACGTATTATATTCATTACTTGTTATTCTTTCTTTTAGCTTTTAATTCTTTATAAAACGTTAAATTAAAAAATATTCAACTAACATCGATGATTATTCAGAAGACCATTAACTCAATAGGCTTTTCTGGATATGTTTTAGTGTTTTTTTTTCCACCCTCCGCCTTTCTTTTCATTGAAAATAATAGGCTATTTTTCTCTTAGTGATTCATTTTAGAATCAATTTGAGTGAGTCCGAGAAGGAATACTCTAATGAATATACAATTAAATTAAAGTTGCAAGAATTAGAACAATGCTTCTTCAAAGTCAGCGAAACAGGATTTGCCAGAAGCGGAATGGGACGAAAATCTTTGATTTGGCTCTTATTTTATTCATTATTACCTCGTGTACAATTTTATGCAAGCATTGTCATAACATTACTGGAGAGTAGAATATTTTTCTATTCAAATTCATTTCTAAATAGTGTAGATACACGCAATGCTTCGCAACCTTGGCCTGGATCGATTGGAATTAGTCTGTTTAATGTTTTAAATAAAAACTTTATACATACAATAGTATCTAAGTATGATTAAATGTAGGAAACCCAGCTTATTAATGTATTTATCATCAAGATAAAATACTTATTTTTAGATTTTTATGACTTCCTCCCTTATCTTCTAGCATTCAAAGTACGCAATTATAACAAACACAAACAATATAACATAACGTTATTTATAATTTTAGTTACTCTTCAGGATTAAAATAGTTATAAAAATATTTTTTTAATATCTATCCCCGGAGAATAGAGGAAAAGTAAGTTTTCGATCGATCTTTTTTTCATTTTGACGTTCTTATCGATAATTTGCGTGTAAAAATTGTGCGTTTCGTCCCGAATAAACTCCTCTCTACCATCATCAAAAATGTGTTCCCCCTCTAGAAAATCCATTCACCTTACTTCCAACTAAAACACTACGGTAAGTGAACAGTTTCGATGCAGTCTCCTAGCAACGGTTACCATAGCAACAAAGTGTAGAGTCTATCAATCCGAAGGGAAGGATGGAAGTAATCGGGGGGTGATTCTTCCAGGCACACAAAATCGTTTTCTAGAAATTTCATTTTGAATCTACGGTGGAAAAGTGGGTAGAGGACGGGGGAAAAAGATACAACGGCAAAAGAGCGCATTATTGTTGCCTCGGAGATAGTCCACTCTTAGCCTGTTTGTTTGCACCACATATTTGTAATTCAATAATCAATTTATCCTAGTTGCTTTCTTAATGGATAAGATTCATATTAAACTTTACTGCTATGAGTTATATAAGTAATGAAATAATATATTTTCGATCAATAGATGGCGCTACGATTATTTAAAAAATCGATCATTAGATCATTTTTTTTCCAGTTAATAGTTCGAAAATAAATTTTTTTAATATATTTGAATATTTAAACAATTAAAAACTTTTTAAAAGCTAAAATTTTAAACATTTATCTTTTTATAAATAAGCGTATTTATCGAATTTTAATAATGCAACAATGACAAATTTAAAGGTAAAAATCTTAATTACTGATATACATTTTCGTACTTAATAATGTATTAGAAGTCAGGAATCGAATAGTTGAATACTTGTTAAAGTAAAAATTTTGGAAGAGGAAAATGTTGCTTGCGAAAACTATAAAGTAGTCGTAAACGAATCTGATCAATGGTAAAATTCCTCGTAAAGTATGCATCAAATTTTCTTAGAATGGAATCTGTTCTTTCGATATTCTAAGTAAATGGATTTGCTTTAAGGACAGTTCATAAATTCTTATATGCAGAGGATTATATGAGATCCACAAAAACAACCAACGATCTGTAATGCTAATAAATTATCCGATTACCAAGATTGCATCTTCGGAGGAAAATGATTCGTCTCCATTCTTCCCCATATGCCACATAAACAAATTCAAAAGCAAATAAATACAAGAAGAACTGAACTGGAGTGTTGCATGTTTTCTATCCATCTCGGCTACCAACAGCCACTTTAAATCTCCTAGCCAAATACCACAAGGGGAGGAAGAGCTGTAAGTGGAAAACCCTGTCCTCTCAGATGGATGTCGTCAGTCTCAGGTAGACTATATGTTAATTATCGGTCTGCAAAGTGGCAGCTCCGTGTTCTTTCCGTCCCCCAGTGCAGTACTGAAAACTTTATCAAACTTCATTACGAATACTGGGATGTTACGAGAAAACTTTGTATTGTAAGATGTGTCGGAGAATCCCAACGAGACCGCAGTCTTTACTCTTGTCTATTTGCTTGATCTAGTTTGTGCAATGGATGCGGGACGTTATACTACTTCAAAATTTAAACTGCTCTTTAACTTATAAGAATTAAAGTATGCATATAAATCGCTGATAATTATTAATAAATTTTTACGATTATCATCCTAACCAAGAAGATGTTAGTTAATAATTGTTCGCAAATCAAATATAAGTTTATAGGTCAAAAGGGAAATATATCAAAGGATTATTTTCCATCAATAATTTTAAGATGCTACTATTAATAATGATGTGGGAAGTATATACGCCAAAGGCAGAGGGCGGAACCGCAAATAACCATTCTGGTCATGGCACTGGCTACCGATGTACACTCGCACGGACAAGTGATTTATAACAGTTATAAAAATAGGTGTATGCTCGTGGCACCTGAGATAAGAAACTTGGGGTACAAGCAGTATGCTATCTCTTTACAAAAATTGCACTAATTATTTTAGTCCCTTTAATGTCTCTATCTAAATTGGCAAATCCAATATCGTTATCTATCTCGGAATTATTTTTTTAAAAATACGAAAAACGCGTAAAAAACAAAAAATATCTATAGTTTAATGATTATAATCAATATATTATAATTATCATTATAATATACTGGAGAATAAACTCAAATCATAATTATTCACACTTAATATAACCTGTTACTGTACTCTTTTCGACTTAATAGCCGGTTATTTTATCGAATTCTTAATGCAAATTTCTAATACAATGATAATGAAAAATTATAAATTTTTTCATTTATGAAGACATAACTGGTTTTAAGTAAAAATAGAAATTTAAATGAGATGAAATTTTAATATTTATACTTTCAATGTTTGATTATATTAAATTTAAATATTAATATATGGGTGGGAAATTTTGCTACGAATATATTTTCATGACAAAATGTTAACATGATCGTTCATTTATATATTTATAATTTATTATCCTAATAAATTTTCATCATATAAAATGTGCATTTATGCAGGGGGGAACTTAAAATTTAATTCGTTTATAAATTTTAGATTCAAAAAATAATCGATTTATTTATTCATTTAATTATTATTTTCGCATTTAATCAATGTAATATAAATAATAAATGAATTTTCATTTTAAAATATAATTATTGACAATTCCAATTTATTATTTCTGAATGAATTTTTAATTTTTATTGTTTTCCATTGTTTTTATTAAATAATTTAAAATATAATAAGTACACACTAGCATAATTCATTATTATTATATATTATTTTATAAATTAAAACTAGATTATTATTATGGAATATAATATTTTGAATGTAACTATATATGCGTTTAATGTAAATATATGTAAAAATTGTGTATGTATATAAATATATTTAATATAATATTGCTTATTTTCCTATATTAGTAAATACATTTTAATTAGAAATTAATATATAGACTATTTACTTAGAAAATAAAATATAAAAATAAAAAGTAAATAAAATTTTAATATAAAATAAAATAAAAATAAACAGTTATTTTAATTTGAATTAAAATTATAAGTAAATATTTTTAGATTTGTTATTTGTTACATATTATGGTCCTATATCTTTATTTAAAAAATAATAATAGGCCTAACAATAAATATCTGTTTATTTAAAAAGAAAATGTTTAAAATGAATAAATTATATAAATTACATATTTTTTTCACATCATTTGACTGAAGAAATAACATATTTCTTCAGTCAAATGATTTAAAATAAATAAATGTAATAAATATTGGATGACTTTAAAATTTTTTCTAAAATACAATTCGCGGATTCTCTTTTTATTATTATTTTTATTTACTGTAAATAGATAACAAATACTCACTTTTTTAATGTATCCCTTGTCGGTACCAACGAATGCTACAGTGTGTTGAGAGGTGGTAGTTGTTGCCACAGCAGTGACTGTGGTATTGACGTAAACAGCGGAGGCTACATTTGAAATAGGTACTGAACCATTGAGTTTGAGAGATTCACTGCAGAAACTCAAAATGTTGCCTCCCTGCCGAAGAAAAATCTGCAATCAGTTTTTATATTTTAGTTATTATCATCACAAATAAATAATAAACCTATTGTATAATATTACTAAATATAACTGGTCTAAATACAGAGTTTAAGTCAAGGATTAGTAGCTTTGATGAATTTACAAAACTATCGTAGGCTTAGTATTCTTGTTAGTCCAGAGAAATGAAGCGAAAATAATTTAAAATTATCAAGAACTATACGTTAAAAAAAGCATCGTTCAAGTATAAAATATGTATGTATAATATTTTTCCTTGTTTTACTAAAAAATGAGTTCTCTATCTCTCGTAAGGGTTCGATGATTTATTTGAATTTTGAGAATTTTTATGTTTATAACTTATTCTATGTTCGTAATCTCAAAAACCGAAAGTAAAGTAGATCTACGATAAATCACAATGATAATAAATTGCAATATCCTTCCATGCCTATCTAACTACGAAGCTTTAAAAAATATACAAAGGAAGACAATTCCGAAAAAAATTGAACATGTTAGTAAAGGTAAACTTAAGTTTTCGAAATATAGAAGTAGGGAATCATAAATAAAAAGAATTTTCGATGATGATAAACATTTATTTTTCTACCTATCTCTTTATGACATGTTTCTTCTTTTAAATCAACATTAAATAAAATTTGCTAAATTTAGAAGGACGTTCTATACAAACTATAACATTCTCCTATTTTATTCAGCCTTCTCCTTAATTTTAATTGACTTCAAATTTGAAAACTTTTAGGCTTATTCTCTTTTAAACAAAATTTAAATTATAATATAAATTTAAAATGTGTATTTTTAATATTCTAGATCCCTATATTATAAAGCAAATGTTGAATTTATTCTAAGTAAACATCAATCAAACAACTAAGTTGCATATTTTTATCCAAATTATCAATTTTTCTTAAATTTTATCAGAGGTGAAAGTAAGTGCAATTATTAAAATTTGTTAAACTGTAGCAGTCATATATATTTTATTAAGTGAAGAAATAAAGCAATGAATAATTCGTTCTGTCTATTTAAATGAGTTAAGTGATGAGAAGAAAAATAGCTATTTATTAACGCAGTTCATTATTGGGTTTTTATAGAATGAAGAAGGAGTAAATGAGCTGCTTCGATCAAAAACAGAATTGATTGGATCTTCCTTCCGGCATCATTCGAGGGTTTGTCAATAAGAGCAACCAACCGTTAAAGTTTTAAAACGAATTCGTGACCTCGCTATAGCCCGTCAACTTCGCAGACAAACTTGACAAGTCTCTTTAAAAAAAATAAAACTGAAGAAAACAACTACTACTCTTTTTGAAAGACAGGCCAACTGGAAGAAAAAAGCAAACACGATTTTCTCTGATCTATAACTTAATGTTCTGAATTCTTAATTATTATAAATCAAATAATTCATTTTATTCGTTTAAGTTAAGAATTTTCGACTATATAACTACTATTTATCTTTATTACTGAGTAACGAAAGTGTTTTATTAAAATAAATTTGATTTTTCTTAGTACATCTTTCTATGAAGAAAATTAAATTTATGGAAGTGCTAATAATGAAATATTAATATTATGAATTGTAAATTATATATGTAAGTTGGAATTTTCATTTAGAATATTTTTTTCTCGTTAATGTTAACAAAATCCAGATGTTACGCAGTTGTGCGAATATAAATAAAAGAAAAATTATCTTATTTCACTTATTTTTCACATTTAAGCAAGCAGGTGAAAAGCTGTTTTTGTATTAGTGTATAAAGAAAGGAAAGAGATGGGATTATTGTAGTAGTGTGCGTGACATCTGAGCATAAATCTCTTCCCCATTACTATGTGACACGTGCAGACTAAATACAGCAGTAGTTAATTACGAGCATGATTATAGACAGGTTGCCAATAGTTTTCGACGCCTTAATTTCTTCTATGCATAATATAAAACAGAATCAAGGCGTCAAATCCGCTTCGCAGAGAGAACATTTAACGCATCGTCTTCCTAATATTTCATGGCACAAGCTAATGAAATTCGTTACATTTGCCACACGCCATTAATTCGGTGTTTGGTCGTTGCTTTTACTCCTTCCCCTCGGGTCAATGGATCTGCTTGCTTCATTGCCTGACCTTTGAGTTTGTAATTAAACAGCCGAGGAATTTCGCCCATAAATGTGTTAAGATATTCAAGAAAAACCATACCGATGATTCTTAAATACTCTGCATTAATAGCAAGTTGCTACCCTAGCAATTCAATAATCGCTAAAACTTACAAAATTATTTTACCATTGATAACTTAACGTCAAGAAACGATATTAAGCGTGTAAATGGAAAATTTAATTCATTCCAATCTAAATTATATTTACTTCACGCACTCATTTTTTTAACGAATAAACTAATCCAAATTGCAATATTCTCATAATACTTTATTATATATTAGTTAAAACCCTCAAATATCTGCATTTATACAGTTTAATATGCATAATCAGGAACTCCTAAAATTTCTGAAAATTGTATATTTTAACATAGTATAGGTATGCGGTATGTGAAACTCCTGAAGTTTCTGAAATTATATTATTAATGTATAGTATCTTGCAATCCCTAAACTCGTATAGTTTATTATAAAGCATCTAACACTATAAATAGTTTCTGCATTTATTTAGATTAACATTCTCGAAATATATCCGGAACTATAGTTTGTTATAAAACATTCAAGAAAATTAAAAAAGGGTACATGCATTTCCAAGAACTTAATACAATGTTTTCGGTACTTTCATAATAATATAAAATCCCAGAAATAAATCAAAGTTTATAAGTCTGCTTGCACAATTTATCACATTTTCCTAAGAAACCGTATATCAATGTCCAAATGATTGGTGATTATCATTTATCAAAGCATTTTGTTATTTAATGCCGCTATAAGAAATTATGAAGTTGAAAATATTTTCCAACGTAACTCAATATAATACATCTTATACTTTTCAACTTATGGAACTTTCAAATCTAAAAATAAGTTCTTTCGTTCGAATCTCTTAATCATTCATGAATATTTAGAGAGTGATTTTTCTCTTTATCCTGTAGAATAATTATATAAAACTTCAATATAAAGCTATATCCGTAAATAGTTATTTTAATGATCGAGTTTAGTTAAATAAAAAGTTTTAAGTTTAAATGTAAGATTGATTAAAGAAATTGATGCGATTGAAGAATTGAATCTCGGTTTAAGGAAGACAATAATGGAGACGAACAAGATGGATGGCCGCCATTGAACTGAAGGGGAATGCCATCAACAGAAAAATAGTAGACGGGAACTAAGGAAAAGATTCGAATTAACGATTGCCAAGGCAATATGAAAACAGAAACGGATGAGAGAATTGTGCAACATAAATCCATTATAGGTAGCAGAAAGTTTCGAGGAGTTTTTCTATCTCACTTTAAATAGTTTTTTCAAAAAGATGAAAATTGTATTAAAATGTGATCTGATATTCCAATAGTTCATTTGTTAACTATTTTTAAATGATCTTTCAACGACCTCGGATATATAAATAGAACTTCACTTACTTTATGTTAAATTGCTAAAAGAAATCAATATTTTAAGAGAATCGAAAAAAGTTCAAGAAAAGTGGCTATTTAATAATACTGTCAAAATAACCCTTTCAAAATGAATGCTTTATCTCTTATATATATTATTACATAGAGAAAATGAATGTTTACGATGTAACATTGTTTTTTTCCTTAAAACAATAAAGCTCCTCAGGATAATGAGCACAAATTTAAGACAGGATTTCCCTTCTTAAACTTATTTTCGGAACGATTTATCCTTTAATAGCCCTCTTAAGAATTTCCTTTTTAATAAATTCCCCTCTTGAATATCATTTAAAAAAAGGGGGTTATTAGATATTATCAAAATTTTAATTATCGTTTCGAGAGGAAGAGATCAATTTTCTTATTTTAATTTTTATTATGTCCTTGTAAAGTATTGCTATATAATAATAATAATAATAATAATAATATAAAAACACTTCTCATCCTCACACTATTGCAAAAAGTTGACCAATATGCTTAATATTATTATTTTAAGTTGATACATTAAGTTAGATTAATCAAAATATAAATTTAATACGGTTTTATTTTTCGATTCAATAGTTGAACTATATAAAAGGGTTTCGGTTTACTGTAATAATCACTAAGCAAACAGTCCTTCCACATATAAGCTAGGTCTACTAGCGTTTTCTATCAAATTCCGGATCGAACGAAATGTCATTAACCGTACTTGTGGCTGACAGTGAGCATTACATGAAAATATAGGTCAACGTTAGTGGCGTCGGATATCGCCACACCCCGCTAGCTCTTCCACTTCATCTGCTTCACAATTTTTTTATTAGTGCAATGAATTGGAAGAAATCTCATCAAAAGCCAATTCAAGTCTGCCCCAGATTGAGATGCAGTTATTGAATTTAATAACTCAAAACGTAATAATGATAAGAAAGAATTTTTTATTTTAGCTCCTTTTTTTTACACCAATATAAAGTCATAAATATTGACACATTTCTATTTACGTAACATTTCCCCTATTTATTTGTATAATATTCTATTTTTCTAGCAGAGAAATTAAAGTATAAGTGACGAAATTTTAATGTAAAAATTTCTTATTTTTCACTTAAACTTTAAGTAAATTTGCTTGATGTTTTGAATGAATTCCAATTTTATTTAAGTAAACAGTTTTGTCTTTTTTAAAAATTAATTAAATTCGGTTAGAATTTGCTTATTTTATGATAGAAATAAAGGTAAATTTTAATCGTATTATAGAAAATAAATCCAAATTTAAATAAATAAATAAAATATCTATATTAGGGGAAAAAAAGGAAAAAAGCCATTTTCATCCATATGATTCCCATCTTCAGGAAAAATAATATAATTTAAGAGGCAGTAAGATAGTGAAATTCTCTCGGATGCACGTTCATTTGTTATATGAATATTCATCTCTTCCATGTCAAACTTTATTGAATAATGATCAGATATTTACATTCATCTACAAGAAACGACTTATTTGAAGAAAGTCGGAAAACTTTTTTGCGCACTTTATTGATTTTTTTAAAAAATGCGTTATTTATGACAGATGTATCAATCATTTGAATAATAAATTTCCAAAAATTTACGATAAAGATAACAAAACTGGTAATTTAAATATTTCACGGAGGAACTTTGTTTTCCATTTGTAACAATCTGAAGAGAAAGCGAGAGAGAAAAAGAGAGAAAGAGCAGCTTAAACTAATATGATTCCTCCTTTCGTTATTTATATATCCCTTAAATCTTTTATCTAACAGCCTTCTGATCAAATGCATCTTGGAAATTCCATTAACCGATGTTTTTGGTCATTATATGATTTTTATCTGTTGATGTGATTCGGCGTTTCGGTTTACAACCAGCATTAATTCTTTTTGGCCAGTTAATACGAATTTTGAAATCATTTATCTTTTGCTCTAACGATGCAAACGTTGAAAATGATGCTTTCATTAATTGTAAAAATTTTCCCTCCTCTTCGAAACAGATTTCGTGAAAAAAAAATCGACTCGAATTAATCAGAATTCTTTCAAATAAGGTCAAAATATTAAGTAAAAAATCGTATAATTTCATATTTTAATACTTTATGAATCTTTAATTTATAAACCTAAACAGGGTTTAAAATATTATATACTTTAACTTCATATTTAGTGTCGAAATGTAAATTATTTGGTTCATTTATTCAATCTTCCAAATAAATTAGAATAATCTCTATCTTAAAAATTTCACGAAAAAAACAAGAAATTGTTTTTATTAAAATGTGTTTAAATTCTTGTAATAATAAAAATTCAGAATTAACTTTAAGACAAATAAGTAATTATAAAAAACGACGTTTAGTAGTTTATAATTGTAAATCATAATATCTTCATAAAATTTAATCTATTTGTTAATACTTTGCATTTAATGATAATGAAAAAATAATAATCTTTTTTTTTCTAAAATGTCTATTTTTTTATCCAATTAAATATTTCAAATTTATTAACTATTTTATTATTATTTTCAGTTTTTATCACAGGAATTTCTTTTGTAATGAATATTTCCGAATAGTTTCGTTTTAATAATTCTAATGATTTATTCTGATCGGGATTTTACGTATTTGTAATTTAATGATTTTATTGATTTTTTCCTCTCAATCATCATTATCGATCCTTCTCCATGGCTGCCGAAGAAAGCGTTCTCTATTTGTCTCCATTTCTCAGAACCTCTGCTTTTCTTTTCTAGTTCTTTCTGCAAAGCCTTTGATTTCATCTCTTTGTGGGCCTTTCTTGTTCACAACTTTCCCTTTGGCTTTATTCTTTATCAAATTTGCACATCTCTTTGACTCTATTCTGCTCATTTCCAATTTGTTTCTTTGACTCTCATTATTATATCTATTACTTATATTTACTGCCAGTTTCATTCATTCATTTGCTGTTTTTTCTTGTTACATTCACTATTTTTCTTTCTATATTTCTAACGTAATCGTGATGCTGACTTTATTTTCTAATGCCTTTAAGTTGTAAAAATACAAAAATATGTTTAAATTCTTAATTTTTGAATTATTTTACATATCGTAAATAATGCAAATTGTAGGCAGAACATCTTAAATTTAATGTTTTAAATATCTCTTATTAAATTTCAGCTACCGAGGGTGCTTCGGAAATTGTGTGGATCAATCTAAAAGTAGTAAATAACATTTTTTTTTTTTTTTTGCGAAAAAAAGAATATCGAGTTGATTCTGTTATCTTTGTTAAAAATTTATTTTTATCTATCCACCTGAAATTTTAAATTTAATTTCAGGTCTACAAATAAAAAATAGTCGTATAAACCACTTTTAACTTAGTTATACTTGTTTGTATTAACTTTAAATATTTATTAGATTTTTATGGCTTACTTACGATGCTTTCAACATTTTTTTTTTTTTTTGTAAATTAAATAAGACATAAAATTATTCATTTAATATTTAACAATTGAAAATTTGAAATAAAATAAGTAGACTGTTCTTATGATAATTCAAGCATATATCTTTCACTTTTGTCTGCGTGTTAAGTTATAAAGATAATTAATAAATGTAGTCTGTTAAGATCATATTTTAGCGTTAAAATGTATAGGAAACAAAAATACATCGATAATAATTTTAAAAAAATGATTTTAAACCTTAAAAAAATCCCTATACATCTTTGTAATTCTGATTTAAAACTATATATCTTAGAAATTTTTCAACCAAATAAAAAATAAAACAAGAAAGACGAACTACCATCCGAATAAAATATAGGGTAGATTTTTCTTCAGATCATTTTTCGAAACAGAATCCTGATGATCCTACGAATTTATGGATGATCAGTCAACGATGTCGTGATTGCGTTTTTAGAAGTGTCATCTCAGTTTCAGAATTAATAAGGCTAGAAATATTTCTGATAGATAGTATATCATGTTTCTTCTCATATCTTTTACTAATTGCAAAGGTTAAGAAAATACGATAAGTTCAAATTAATTGGCTGGTGTCACTATTCCTTTCCCATTAACGTTATACTGTCGTCGATATAGGGATACGATTTTGTTATTAACCTACAAGAACATTAAAAGAAAACACATTTCGCCTTCGAGAATGATGTAATAGTAATATTTAAATATTATTGCGAACGGAAACGATTAATAATTAGCAATAATATTATCCTAAATGTGCTTATGAACCGGGATAGATATCATATCAACGTTTCACATATTGAGCATTACTATAACATTAAAGCAATTCAGTTTTATTGTTTATGCCTTATATAGCCTATTAATTACCAACAGAGAAAGCATAACTTACGTGCATCTCACTTTTACGATAACACAAAATTCTCGACTGAATAACATTTTTTTAATTCGAAATCCACGTCCATTAAACATTAAATAAGTGAATATTTATTATTATGCCCAGTTTAAATTTTCATATTTTTTATTAATTTTGCAAATATGAATTATATTAAAAGTTAAGGGATTTTTATATATTAATCATTTCTATATTCTGTAAATATATTAATCCATTCTTGATATAACTATTAATTCTTTATATAGAAGCTTGGCCATTCATTACTATAATAGTAATAAAAAGCGATGCGTACGATATGACATACGTAATATTATATGTAATGTGAAAAAACATATTCACAATTTATTATTATTAAGAATTTTTCTTGCTTGAGAATAGAAAATGAATGTTTTAGCGTAATTATTCGCAAAAAATTTTAAAATAACTTTTTAATTTAGTTCAAATAAAATGAAAATTTGCACTGTTCATATATCCAACATATAATTTTTAGTTATAGCTTTAGTTGTAGCGAGAATCATAATTTGAATACTTATTGGTTTAAAATAAACAATTTACATTACTACTTTAATATCACGAAAACCGATCAAACTTCCTGATTCTGAATTATTAAAAAAATTAAACATAACTGTCATAATAACTTTTATGTTCTTTAACATTTTCTAAGCATATTAACCATATTTTAAGGATGGTTTTCCAAGATAAAGCTGCGTTATACAATATAGACTTACGCAATGTATTATGACAGCCATGAAGCAGCAGATCTCATAATTCTTACTCTATCTGTTGGAAATGTAACTTTATTAGGATATAGCCTTATTTACTGTACTACACAATCTAGAGATACTGACAGTGCTGAGTACCAACATGCATCTGGATTACTTCGATATAATAGAAAAAGAATGAAGACGTCAAGAGATGTCTATAAAGATTGTGATACGATACAAATAAGAGGCCACTTGTTCCATTACACTAATAATTTCAAATATTGAACTATGACAAAAAATAAATAATAAAGAAGATCGGGTATCTAAATTTAATTAGACTAAAAGTAATCTTTACAATTAATTGCAATGATCATTTTAGTATCAGTGAATTGCAAAGGGAAATCTCAGTTAATTTAACCAATTTCATTCATTAAATATTACATAATTTCTGATGTTAATGCAGGAGAAAAAAGAATCTAGGAGGAAGTGATTAGTAATAAATAGAAAATGTAACTATTTTAATGTAAGTTTACAAATAACTTAAAATAATTCAAATTATAAATTATGAACAAATTAAAAACTAAAATTATTTATTTTAATAAATTAATAATAGATTAAATAAAATTTAAAATAAATCTAATTAATTACATAAACTATACATTAAAATAATTATAAATTCAAAAGAAAAATTAACTTTCTATAATTACTAAAAATCATGCAAGATTCAAATAATACTAGGTTTATTTAAATTAGATAAATTCAGAAGTTTAATTATTTTTATTCTTCATAAGAATATTCAGTCGTTTGCAAGTTTTATCATCTAGAATGACTATTTTTTCAGTATTATTTCAAAATAAACTTACCCCTGGTTCTGGGCAATTTTCGATAATTCCTGCAATATAATCCATATCACGAGTTACCATGCTGCCATTATAACACATGTGAATATTTTCAGTGAATCTCTGTTCAATATCAGCCAGAGAATAAACACAGATCGCAGAATTGGGAGATGTGAGATATGTGTGATCTTTGCTAACGGCAAAAACACCAACAAGAACATCGGCCCCGGGTTCTATATGCAAATCTGCAGCTAAATCAGGTGCAGCGCGCACCAAACTAGCATCTTGAAGCAGATTATAATCTGTTCCATCTGGTCCTAGGCACTGAAGGGTCACCTCTGTGTAAGTGTTGTAACCAGCATCAGATACACATACTCGTGATAAACGAGTAATATAACCCCATTCTTCTAATGCTCTCAAATAAGACTTTCTTTGAAGTGTAGCAAAGTAGATGAAGTCTCCGGAATGAAAGCCATACACGTATTGCACCAAATAATAATCTCTAAGTTGTGAACTGATATCTATTCGTGCTATAGAAGAAAAGGAATGTTCGATAACCCTGAAAAGTTGGTTCTGTTCGAGGCTTCTGCTGCAAATTGCTGGAACCATATCCCTATAAGGGCCTAGCCGACTGTTAGTGGTTGCCACATAAAGAACACGCGAAGGATAATTGTCGTAACGAGCCGGTCCTATGAAGGCAAATGTCGAAGCATTTTCGTCATTGGCTGCTACAGGAACGGGCACAAGATCTTCATAATTAGAAATATTATCCAGATGATGTCTTCTGCAGGAACCCTGCTGAACACTTCCGCAGACTATCAAAAGTCTAGAATCTTGATCAATGACTAGTACTTTGTTTATATTAGTGAAAGAGTAAAGTTGTAGATCTGTGCAATCTGTAGGGAAACATCCAATATTGTCCTCGACAGGTCCAGTTTGCACTGATGCTTCTAACCCCAAGTTCGAATTAAATTGATAGAGCCAGTTTGTGGCTCCTACGTAAACTTTACCCGTTTGGGGATCCACTACCATGTGAGTGAAGTTAATAGTTTCATTGAAGGTAACAAAGGAGGGATAGTTGGGTTCGTGGACGACCGATCCACGACACAATACAACAACAAACGATAAGCTAAATGACCAGAGTACTGATACTGGCCCATACGACGTCCGTTTGATGCTTCTTCCGGTAGCGCACCGATTTCCGGTGGATTCGCTTGACTTCCATCCGTTACTTTTAACTTGTGTCCAGTCCATTGTTAAATGCACTAGCACTAACCCCACATCATAGATCTTCTGCTTACTTCTGAAAAGAAAAATATTAATTAAGTAAATGCATGCAAGTATTAATTAATTTTAACTTTAAACGATAATAACATGAAGAAAATAATGGTTTTTTTCAATAAAATACAATGATTTATCTTTTTTTTACATTAATAAAGCAAATATACCAAACAGCAACGTGAAGTATTCTATATGGAATATCGGTTTTCTCTCAAACTTTATGCATTTCTTCGCCTACTGCACTGAGAGGGAATCGAGAGAAAATTGAAGAGCAAAGTACAGAACATTGTATCGGGTTTCGATATTTTATAGGAACTTGACATATGTAGTGTTTCGGGTGATCCGAAGCATATTGGGTTATACTCGATAACTGTTACCAAGTTTGTTGAAATATTTCTAAACTATACGAATCTTGAGTAATATGAACTTAAAATCCATCATAACTAAGCAAATAAGATTACATATATGTGTCAGAACAAATAGTCTATCAAATGAAAGAAATCGAATAATTAAAAATCATCAATAGTCAATAACCATCCGTGTTCTTAAACCCGAATACATTTATAAAAGAGAATCAGACTTTCCTCCTATTCAGTAAGCTCGTACTCCGTAATGACTATGGGTGCGGCATCGATTCTATGGTTTAGAAACGTTTTCTCTTTGTACTTGCCACAAGGTTATTGTTACCTCCATTAACTCATTGTCTGGTTAATGTGAGAAACCTTCGACATGAAAATCCTGCTTTTGGATGAGTATCTCGGAAACAAGATCCTACACGATTTGGCAAGAAATCGCTCTTATTAATGGTACCATAAGTTTTGGTGTAGTTAAGAGTAACAAAGCACACTGTATATATATATTTTTTTCCTTTAAATTTCAACCCTAATATTAGCTAGCAGAGTTATAAATATTCCTCTGGTTTTGCAAAATTGAAAAAAAAATTCACAGGCGTTTTTTAATAACCAAATTAAGCTGTAAGAGGTAATAACAAAATTGGTTTAATTTAAATTTATGTTAATAAATGACAAAGTTAATTTAAGAGTAAAATATTGAGAGAATAAATTTAATATATTTAGAACGACTCAAAACAAGTCTGGTTTATATAAATAATTTCAAAAATCGGTATAAAAAGCTAAAAGTAAAGAAAAAGTATGCAGCAATTTAGACGAAGCAGAAATGATTAACTAGAAAAACCTCATATCATCCATAAGCGAGTGTTGGTAATATCCGCCAACAGATATCTTGGCCGTGTTGTGTACATAATAATACAGCCGTCCTGTAGCTAGCGAAGCTTGATCTGGGAATGACCTGTCATTTTTATAGTCATTGCATCAGTGAAGCAAAAAGTATTTTCAATGTAAGCAAGACTTCTTGTTTTCTTAAGACTTAACGGCCTAGTGAAAGAACGAATGGCTCGAATGTTTTATAGAGTTCAGGTGAAAAGACTAGACAGGATATAAAAAAAGTATTTGTGTTTCTATCCGTTGACGTATAGTGAAATTATCGGTGTATATAACTAGAGCGTGGGAGAATCTCAGATTAAAATAACAGGACAGCTTGTTTTTCTAGAGTGTGGAATTTCACGGTAGTGGTATGAGAAGTGGCAGAAGGATTCGCTTTAAATTATCTCCTGAACGATGATGTCGCGTGGATGCCGCCAATGTCTGCTACGGTTTTATGTGTCATAGCAGACTTTACGGATCAAATTTGTGAAATTGTGACTTCTGCTCCTTCTCGCTTGACAGAAAATAAGCATGTATTGATATTTTGCTCTTGGTAAGTCTCACATTCGCAAAATTTGATACTCTCCTTTGCTTAATATGAAAATTAATAATCCGTTCTTTCGTAATTTGATTCGCTTTATAGAAATCAACGCTAATCTTAATAATTATATACATATATTTAATGTTAAAGATAATTATTTTATAATATTTCTAAGCATAAGAGTAAAACTTCAAAACTAAATAATTTTATATTAATTATTAAATAAATAATATATTTTATTTATACTTCAGTAAGATTATCGAGTACATTATATAATTTTAGGTCATAAAATTAATTTATAAATTAGAAACTTTTTAAAGGAATAATAAGTTATTAATTTTAACAAAATTAACAAACCGATAGATCAATCACAAGGTACCAACCAGCTGAATAATTCGAATATTTTCGTTCATGCTTTTTTCGACAGATGGCATAATATGTATCCGAAAACTTACCAACATTGAATATTTTTCTATAAGAAAAAATATTTTGAGTAGAATATTTTTCACTTAACACAGTAGTCAACATCACCGAATGTCTGATTTTCGATATATCATTTTTCCAAATCGATTTATCACAGATGCAAAAAGATCGTCCGATCTATTCTTTCGTTTATTTACTTTCATTCCGGTGCATAAATGATAAATTTATTTATCGATAACAAGAAAAAAACAGGTAATACATTTCATCACACTTGTCTGGTTATTAAAATTTAATATTTATGAAAACAGATTTAATTTTTATTTTAAAAAATCGAATGTTAACTGAGATAATCAGATTACATTCTTATATCTTTTTAAATAATTTTTTACGTAAGAGCTTTTTACTTAGGTCGCAACCACTATATATGAAGCCATTTAGGGAAGACAAAGAGTAAAGTCCAATAATCCTTCATTAGAGATTGTTTAATTAAAAAGAAGCAGATAACAATTAAAATGCCTCTTAATTAGAAAAATTAACATACTTCAGACTCTCGGCAAATAATTTGCTTGCATTCTTTAAATTACTAAAAAAAGAGAGAGGGAGAAAGGAAAGAAAGGCTATCTGTTAACATCACAAAAATGTTTAAATTTTTCGTTCCATCAAATACGAATAGCTCAACAGCTAATGTGACTCGGAGTTAATTAAATAAAGAGCTATCTCGGGGCGGGCACCGACCAACAAAAGAATTTGGAAATCGGGATGGTACAGTAGGCGATTGACTGTGGACCCTTAGTGCACACATCATCGCCTTTTGAATGTAATTAGCTAGTTCGAGGTCCTGCTTGCTGACCCGCACATAACAGAGGAGCATCGTTAAGTGGAGTTGGATGCTCGACCGATGGATTTATAGCGTTTGGATTTCGATTCGGTTGTCACGAACACCTTAGCCAGTCACGTTCGTTTCAAAACCGCCCTTCTGTTTTGTAAAGAACGTTTTATTAAAACATACCTCGGGCCGCGATGTAAACTTGCGCAACTTCTTTGATCACCTGACTCCAACATCTCCGACCTTCTCCTAATTTATTAAAATCGTATGCATTTCCTGTTGATCCGTTTGCCTAAACTCGAAAAATAAATTCACTCCGAGACACCGCTAATATTTTGACGCATATTTTCCAATGTTGTAATTGGTTTGATGTCAAGGGAGAATATTGCAGTTTTTTTTTTTGTACTACTGAGAATTATTTTCTTTAGTTTAAATGTAAAAAATATCCAAACAATTTTTAAAAAATACAAAATAGGAAAAACATAAAGATAAATATTTTTGATTAAATATAAATAAACGTAGCTAATTTCATTCTCAAACATGTTTTAAGACAGCATTTTCATTATCCGTTTATTTATTTTAACACACAAGAATTGTTCAGAATCATTTCCAGACTTCTTTTTATTTTTATAAATTTTTAAAATCAGTCAATGAATTAAAAAAAATCTCGAAAATCATTCCAAAAGATTAAATTTAATCTCGGGATTATAAAGAAATTTTTATATTGTCGTCGACTACAATTACTTTCTTGTTCTCCTTAAATAAATTTTGAATATTCATATATTTAATAATTAATTCTACTTGCTTAATTAATATTAATTTTTACTTTCTTTTCTTAATGTATTTACTGGATTAGAAGAAAATATCGATGCCAATTACTTCAGACACGCTTTTTCAATATAAATATTTTAAAAAATTACCCGTAATGAAAACTCTACTGCCTTTGCATTTGCCGGGATTTATACGAATGAGTTCTGTGCAAAATTACAATGATTAAATTCATTAAGATCTCCATATGATAAAATCTATTACAAAATTGTACGTACTACTTCCAACAGGCTTTTGAATTAGTAATTAAATCTAAATCTTCTAAGAAAATAAATCGATCCGGAATGAATTTATTTCGATCAATATTAAAACTAGGATTAAACCCGATTATAATTCATATTCTGTTAATAATTTCTCAAATTTATTTTAAATGGAATTTAATAAATCTCGGGATACAAATTACTGGTTGCAATAAGTAAGAAGGAATTGCGTTTACCACAGCGTTGTTATTTTTAAGAGGCACAAAGTGGGGGAAGAGGTCGGGAAAGTATGAGAAATGGCGATTTAAAGGTGCTTTGTCTTTTCTAGACGCGTCTTACCTGCAAGAAGTCATTCGGTTAACATTTTAATTCTATTTAAAAACATATTTCGCAGAATTATGAAGTGCATAATTACAGGACATGAAGCGATTAGAAATGCATTGCCTAGACGCTGCTCTGACAGTGGTTTTTGATGGCTGCTGTGATGGTTTCGATTAGAGGTTCTACCTAACTCGATGCCGCGCCCAATAGGGACGGCTCTCCCCAGGCTACGATTTCGTTAATATTTAATTATATTAAATTTTTTCATCCGGCATTAAACTCATTAAAAACTTTTTACCGCCTTTGCAATTCCTAAATTCGTTCTGTGCCATGTAAGAAATATCAATTTCCAAACCGTAAAGAATTTTTCTTCTTATCCTTTATGGTATGGTCCTTCGAGATATCAAATTTTCTTACCGCCAGACTATTTTTTCTTGTATTTATAGTTATCGTATACGTAGACCTATGCAATATAAAAAAGTCATAATGTCTTTTCCTTGAAGCAATTTCTTTTGTCTATATTTCCTTTCTCTTTTACTTAACTTAAAGTACAATAGTTTACAGAACAGACTATTTATTTAAGCTAAACCTGAAATGTATTGCTAAATAATACATATTTAATAAACATATATTGTAAATGTATATTAAATACAATTAAAA